GCCCCTGGTTTAAGTGCCAAAACCGCAGCAGCGTCACTGGCAAAGCCCAATAGTATTTCAACTGCCAAAAAGTGCCAGCACTTTAACTGCGCATAAAATCTCAGCGGCATCTCTATTTTCCATCAGTCCCCACTCAGGAGGTAGAGTTGAAAAAGTTCCAATTTCTACCATTGAGTTGGCTGTGAGCATCCCCACTGGTTCGGAGGTTCCTGACTACTCCTCGTACAGACTCGTGTCTAAATTGGCACACGAAATTAAACTTCACGTACTGCCTGTTGTTAACCTGACATCCCTGCACATCCCCAAAAATCACACATAAATTGCAAATAAAGGCTTTCATGAAGTCATGCTTCTGCCAAGCACCCACATATAATTGAAAATGCACTATCCCTTTCCTGGAAGGCAATGTAACATCCCTGAATGATGTTCACGCTTCTTGATATCCTATAACTAAAATTCTGTGAAATGGGCCCTCCCTGGTGGTGCAACAGGATAAAGTGCAGCATTGAAGTAGCTGCAGCTGCTTTGGTGCGAGTTTGACCCCTGGCACTGGAAGTGACCCACATGGCGCGGCAGGCCTCTTCTGACCTGCCCGCTGCTCCCCTCAGCAGTGGATTTCCTCAGTCTGCCTGTTCTGCTCCCCACTCTGTCTCTGGTGAATCCTCTCACCTCCTGCATCTCTGACCTGTACCCCAGTTCTGTATGCATAAATAAACAAATCTTTTTTCAAAATTCTACACAGTTAGCTATTGTTATGATAGATATGAATGGGTTCAGAGAAAGTAAGAAAAATCTGACACAAATCCATGTGCATAGCACACAAACATATTCAAGCATAGTAAAATAAGGAATAAATAAAGCAATTACAGTCCTTGTTTCTGCAACTCTCATGTGGTCATAAGCTGCATTTTTTAATAGTTTATTTTTACATCATTTTGTGCATTTTTCCATCTCAGATGTAATCCCCTTGGGCTTCCTACCACCAAATCACTCGGGTGCCATCACCATAGTCCAGCGCATTTCCCTCCCCCCACTATTTTTGATCTCATTCTCCCCCACCCCCATAAAATGTATATAACTGTTATTATTATGATTATTTTCTTGCCTGGTCTGTTATATTCCTGCTATGAGTGAAACCATCCAGTAATTTTCCTTTTCCTTTTCTTCCTGGCTTATTTCACTCCATCCATGTTGCTGCAAAAGGGATGTGGTTTTTGTTTTGTTTTGTTTTGTTTTTTGTTTTTTTTTTTTTGGTTGCTGAGTAATATTCTGTTGTGTATATGTACCACATCTTTTTAATCTAGTCATCCACTTTTGGGCATTTGTGTTGTTTCCATGTCTTTCCAATATAGGCTGCATTTTAACTGCCTTCTTCTGCCACCTGCTGCCCTCAGCAAGCACCTCGGCTCACTGTGGCTCTTTGCCTGGTGGGGAGACTCAAACACTTACTCATGAAGCGTCTGGGCCATTACTAGCCCTTTCTAAATTGGGTTTTGGTATCTTTTTTCCCCACTGACTTTATGGCGGCAGCTAGCTGTACTGGGAATCACACTATGGTATCTCCCATTCTCCATTTTCTTCCTGTGTTCATTGGTCAGGTGACATCCCCTTAGCCATCAGCCTCAATCCAGCACAGTGACAGCCTTTGATTCAGAAGCATGAGGGTCTCGATGTTGATATGGGCATTATGGAAAACAATATGTAGTTTCCTCGAAAATTTGAGAATAGAAATTTCATATAATCCAGTTACCTTGCTTCTGGGCATCTACCCAGAGAACACCAAACCACTAATCAGAAGAGATATAGGCACCCTCACATTCATTGAAGCCTTATTTTCAGCAGCCAAGAGTTGGAAACAACCTTAGAGTTCACTGACATATAATTGAATAAAGATGAGGTATACAACACAATGTAATACTACTGAAAAATAAAGATGACATTCTGCCATTTGCAAAGCATGGATAGAGATAAGCCAGATAGAGAAACAAACAAACAAAAGAATGAATGAGTTGAACAAAACAAACTTGAGATGGTAAGATGTGCAAGCACCGTCTCCCTCTTCCACAGCTGCTGCCCTGTCTTCCTCTACTCCTGGTGTTGTTTGGGACAGCTGTTTTGTGACACCACTGCTGAGAAACTGGTGGTGATAAGTCTGAGGAAAGGGTCAAGACTGAGGAAAGAGTCAAGACTGAGAACAGCCATCACGTTCGTTGAAGGTGGCGGGTAGTTTCACAGTGCAGTTTAAGATGAAGAGGCACACAGCACTTCGTAAGCTAGAAACGTCTGTTGTGGATGACAGGGCTTGTTGATGTGGCCAGCCAGATTCCAGTTTGACAGACTTCCACGAATCAGGTACACCTGCACAGCTGGAAATGGAGACCGACGCTGTGACTGGCGTGCCCAGCAGCAGACAGGACGTCTCCTGAATCGGGGAGGCTCTTACCCCAGCAGGAGAAGGCACTCTCAGAGCCGTTACTGGCCCCCACATCTCCTGCCTTCTCTGTCCTTTCATTTTCCCTTCCCCATTCCTTCATTGTATGTAAAACAGCTGGTGTGTGTGCACAAGCATATCAGATTTATAACTAAATGGTCATTGATATGTTTGGATTGATGTCAAGTGAAGAAGGACTGGGGGAAGTTACTGGTCCTGTGAAAATATCCAACAGCTCCTCTCCCCATTGGTGGCATGCTCACCCAGCTTTTGTCCTTACATTGTAGCCCACAGAAAGTACTGTACTAAATAGTTGATAGGTATTAAAAACTGGAGTCAGAATACATCAACATTGTGATATTGAGAAAGTCAATTAACATCTCATGCTAAGTTTTCTTGTTTGGAAAATAAAGTGAATACATCTGAGGTGTACTGTAATGGTGGTAAATTGAGGGGTATGTGTGATTCTGTTTTGGAAAGTTTAAGCACTGCTCAGATATTGACTAGATGTTTTGGAAACTTTACTGCAAGTCAGCACCAATGAAGGGGGAAGAGCAGGAGAACTTCAGTCTCAGAATCACCGCTAATCTCCCTCTAGGTAAAAGGTGAGATAAAGAATGTCCCCAGCTGATAATAAACACGGTAGTTCTGACCTACCCTTGGATGGGAAGTATATGCAAATATTTAGTTTTAAAAGCTCTTGCCTAGGAGGTGCAGTCTTTGTACAGAAGTAAAAGTAAACAAGATATGATGAATTGCATCAGCATCAAACCCAGGTTAACGATCTCAGAAAACATGTAGGGACTGGAGCAATCTAGGCACAGAAGTAATCTCTAAATCTCAGCCTTGGGAGTTGACCACCCCCACTCCTCGTGCCTTTCTATTTTTTTTAAAAGGTATATTTATTTATGCATACAGGAACTGGGGTATAGGCCAGAGATGTGTGGGGTGAGAGGATTCACCAGAGACGGAGTGGGGAGCAGAACAGACATATCAATGAAGTACACTGCTGAGGGGAACAGTGGCAAGACAGGAGAGGTCTGCTGCACCAGATGGTCCCTTCCCTGGGACAGAACTGTGCTGCAGTGGCTGTGGCTACGCTCGTAGAGCTGAGACTTAACCCCTTGTGCCATCAGGGAGCCCCCCCCACCTTCTGTCTTTCTTTTGCCTATAAACTGAACCAACGAGTATCTAAAATAAAAATAATAATTTTCTTTTATAAATGTGGCACCCAAAACAGAACTAGCCTGTTCAAAATGGTCCAGGCAATCGAAGTTTTCTTCATTCCCTCCTTCACTCATGCATCAAATCAAGGATTTACTGGGCGCCATCAGTATGCCGACATAGAATACCTTGTTACAAACTTCAAGGAGTCTTGGGGTGTCTGAATACCCCAGGCATGGGAAAGATGTCACTGGTTTGTAAGTGCTGTCCATGAAAAGAGCGATTGTTCTGAAAGTTACGTTCTCATAGATCTACATTCTGCTTTGATCACCTTGTAAGAAGCCATTCTTTTATAATTAAAGACCCTCCATGCTAAACCCAGTCCATGGCTTACCAAACACTTTCTCCCAAAAGCTGTTCTGAAGAACAAGGCTCACACACACGCCAACTGGGGGAGCTGATAACCTCAGTCTCCTGCTACTCAGAAGGTTTGAGAAAACATGAAATATCCCTGGAAAGTGTGGATGTGGGGGCCACACCCCAGAAAACTTGACCCACTGATCTTGCCCAATGGCTGGCACAATTCAGTGTCTGTGCTGTTCCAAAGGTCACAGTCGTCTGTTTTCCTCACTTTAGGAGAACGACTCTTCAAAATTCACATTTTTTCATGAGAATTTAGCTTCAGATATCTGCTGTCTCAATTATCAATAACCCTAAATGGTGTTTTTTTTTCTCCTCCCACATGTTCAGTTGAGCCCTCTGCTGTCTCCCGAACTCACTCGTGACCACTCACACATCTCTGATCTGGGTGTGTTTGGGTCTCCTGACGCACCCAGCTGCTTGAAGCATCCCCGCGAAAGGACAGTAGCTATGTGGAGAAACCTTCCGCCAATGTCTTTCTTCTCTATTTCTGCAGTCTAGCTAACGAAACTTGACTGCATAGTAATAGTCATATCATCACAACTTTTCCAGTTGCTGAAATTCTTTACCTGTAGTGAGAGTCATTGCCCACATTTATCTATGTCCCAGAGTTTATGTCCAGCAACAAGAAAATATCTATGAATATGGCCAATGAACTGCTCTTGTAAGCAAAGCCTGTTTTGAGCATGATCTATGCATTTTAAAGTGTAAAATAGGACGCTCCTGTGACACAGCTGGGAGGTTGCATGAGTGCACACCAATGGCTAAAAGTCCTCCAGTGCTGATGAAATCATGCTGTGAAATTGTGACCTCTGAATTTTGTAACTAGGTATTCAAATAAACTTTTTTGAACGCATATTTCTGGGATGTGTTCATTTTATGAGTCAACTTTTATATGACAATCATTAAGCAAACTGTTCTTGTAGAAGGGGCTCTGGGACTTGGTTTCTGCAAGGTTGAGGACTTATTCTTAAGCACCATCCCAGTCACAGGACTGCCCCCCAGGGCAGGGGCGCACGGGAGCCCCGACTCCTAGGACAGAACTGATGTTTACTTTTATTCCTTGCTGTTTAACTTTTTTTCAATTCTGCTAACGTTGTTCAAATACAAAAGCATATATTAAGTCTAGCCCCGCGTGTCAAAGTCCTGTGCCAGGAGATGGGAACACGGAGATGAAAGATGCCATCTCCGTTTCCAAGAGTTGCATGAAGAAACCGACACCACCTCTCAAGACACATCATGTGGTCGCCCTTCTTTCACTCACTCCCTCATTCACTGAGCAGACTGTCGAATGGTCGTGTTCATGGCAATGTCCGGGACACAGGCTCACGGTGTGTCCTTGAGTAAAACACTGATGGAGATTTGGGAAGAGGTGTCTGGGGTTGAGTCACTGGGCTCAGTCTGGAAGATGAGGCAGGAGGTGAAGGGGGGATATCTTCAATGATCTCAGCATGAGATGAGCTAGGGAAAGCCGACAGAGGTGAGCTACGTAACACCCACAGACGGATGGATGCCAGCTGAGGCCTTGGGACATGTCCTACCTGTGATGGAGGCCACAGGAGCGTCTGAGCTGGGCCCTACCCTCAGTTCAGAAGGAGGGGAGAAACGTCCAGGTGAGGAGGCAGGAATGGCTAGTCTAGGAGTAGAGTCAGAAGGCTGCAGAGGCTGGTAGTACATGAGGGGAGGCAAGAGTCTATTAAGTGGAAGGCGGACAGATCAAGAGGTTGAGAGTCACTGGCCTGTTGCCCTTCCAGGAAGCTTCTCGTTGCACTCTGACTCTATCTAACTCCTTCTGAGCCTCTGTCAATCAGAGTCCCAGTGTGCTCCCCTTGGTGGTGAGGGCTTTGTGTGTGGCCCTGAACTATTATGAAACCAGAAGCTGCTGTGGAGGGTGAACACTAATAAGTGACTTTTTAGAGATTCACTTGATTTGATCCCACAGCTTGGGGAGCACTGGTTTCCTCCTTTCCCCATTAGAATTTCAGTTTGCTGACAGCAGAAGTAGGCAGCATGAGCTAGTCCTGGAAGAGAGATCAAATTCATCAGCATTCATGGGGGAGTGTGAGCATCGTTCATCTGTCTGTCTCTGACATGTCTCCGACTATCTTTAAATCCTTCCTGCTTTCTCCCTCTGTCTGCCTTTTCCCTTTCTTCTTGCATGTCTGTCCCTGATTCATTTCCTTTTGCAGTCATAATCATTTATTGTAGCTTTAGTGACTTCTACACATTCTGGCATCAAAAGTGTAAAATGAGCCTTGCTGCTCCACAATCAAGGTGGGTGACGAGGCCATAATATCTCCAGCGTTCTATCCCCTGGAGGCACTATCTCCAAGATGCTCTAGCCCTGCATCCTCAAGCCCGTGGCTCCCAGAGTCTTGTTCCACATGCAAATATCTTCAAATACCTCTCTTCTTCTGTCTGTACACCTTCTCCTTGACAGGACCTCTGTGATGACATAGAGCCACTGAGGTAAAACATGGCACATTCTCAGAGTCCAGGAATTAGGACACAGACACAGTGGAGTGCCAGGGTCCACCCTGCTTGTCTCAGGTGGGCAAGCAGGTCTGGGTCTTGACAGGGCTATTCAGGAGTAAGCAGGTGGCCCATGGTGACCTTCCAAGGTGTGGCTTCTTGAGAGGGGAAGCATCAAGAGCAGAAGGAGGGTTCTCCAGAAGGTACATCCCCAGAGCCACAGAGGCACACCCAGCCCTCTCCTAGTCCTCCCCAAGTCTCCAGTGTACTTCCTTCCACTCTGTCTACATCATGAGTGGGAACCCATGAATGGCCTGAGACTTTGAGCCAGCCATCAGGCAGCTGCTGCAGGGACGACTGGGGAAGGTTTTAACTCATCACTCTCCTGAGACCCTCCCCAAATTCCTTCTTTGCACCTCCATCCCTCACCCTGCCCCAAGGCCTACTTCAAGCAACACCTTTTCCAGAAAGCTCCCCTCTCATGACACTCTGCCCACTTTGCCAGTCCAAGCCCAGGCTTCCATCACTGGGTGACTGATTCGATGTTATGCTAAAAGGAATGCTGGGGAGACCTCTCAGGACAAGTAGAAGACACATCCAGGAAACCACGTTGCACATTCCTTGATCTTAGCAATGGTGAACCAGGAAGTTTGCTTTTAAAACACATTGTTCTGTACATTTTTTTAGGGCATTTTCCCTTGTATCTGCAGATACACACCAAAACTTAGCAAAGCAGCAAACGTGGAGTTGGTGAGCGCCTGCTCTTAACCATGAGTCCAAGGCACAGCTTCTATTGTGGTCACAGTGTCTCTTTGGCTGGAATATAAGCTAAGACAATTATGGGAGATAAGTGAAGATTCTAGAAGTGAGTAATTGCTCACATTAAGTTTGTTGAATGAGTGAGTGGGCTCTAACATGCATGCATAATAGGCATTTAATGATAAGCACACATATTTACGTGGCACTGCCCTCAAGGTGGTTATCTATGCTGGTACCTACTCCCCTTCTAAACTACAAGCCTCCTGAAGGCAGGGAGCCCCAGCTTTTCTACAGGCTAGCCTGCAGAAGGCAGTCCTGGGGGAGTCACAGCTGTAGCAGAACTACTTCCCAGAGCCTGGGGCCAGAGACTTCAGGTGCAGATGGATGCCATTCTTGGAGCGCAGAATCAGCTGGGGCAGCTTGATGGGAAGTCTCGAGGGGTCTACAGAGAACTCAAAGCGGAGCAAACAGAGGGCTGTGACCACCTTCATCTCGTTCATGGCAAATTGCTGCCCGATGCAGTTCCTGCAGGGGCCGATACAAAGAGGCATGGGACTGTGGCATCTAGAATGATGAAATCCAGTGCTTCGTGGCCAACAAAAATGAGCAGCTATTTCTGGTTGGACACTCAATTGATGGGAGAAGAAGGGAGCGTTGTGAGGGGCCCACACCAAGTAGATTCACAATGGGGTTGTGGCTTGGGGGTCTTGGAATGACTCACACCTCACACCACCTGCCAGGGGCAAGAACATGCTATGGCAGGGAGGCCCTTGGAATTTGGTTTGCATTAGGATCACCATAAGCCAGCATGCCCCCCTCATCACAGTCTTCCCCCATGATGTCCTCCACCCTGGTATCCCCAGTCCTGAAGGCCTGAGGATTGGGCCTTTCCTTACCTGGGTCCCGCAGAAAAAGGCATGAAGGCAAAGGGATGGCGGCCAGCTGAATTCTCAGGGGAAAAGCGCATAGGGTCAAAGACCTGAGGAGAGAGGATGTGTCCAGATACCTGCCAAGTTCTGAGGCAAGGGGACTCCAATCACGTCCCACCTATCTGACCGCCAGAGGCCCAGGACCAGTACCTCAGGGTCAGGCCACACCGCGCTGTTCCTGTGCAGGGCATAGATGTGCAGGGAGATCAGGCTGCCTGCAAGCAGAGCAGGGTGTGGTGAGCAGGCTGCCCTGGGACAGCAGGCCACCTCCTCACAGGACCAAACCCCCGAGTGTCCCCCAAATGGGCACCAGCCCCTGTTTGAGCTCTACCTGCCACACACTGAAACACTTTTGATCATCCTCACACCTACTTCCTGGAGCCCAGCACCAGGCTCTGTACCTGACACAGACACTGGAGGAGCAGAAAAGAGAGAACTAAGCCCACCCCAATGTGAAGCAGGATCGGCAGGGGCTGTTACACCCTTTTTGCTTTCCTAGCTAACCTCTCGAAGGAGGTTTCCATTCCTAGCATTATACTGTCAGTAGGAAGACCATTCGTTGGGTAACTCACTCTTTATCAGCGACAGAGCTAAGCCACCACCTACTGCTGTACAGGGTGTATACTGCGTCATGGTCTGTGTGACTCATGCCTCTAGGTTGTCCGGGGCTCCCCTGCTTGTGGCATATGACTACAGACACTGTCTCCCTAATCCTGACAACATTGTCAGGAAGCCTTCACACCTGGGTTTTACAGAAGACAAAATGGAGGCTCAGAGGTCGAGGGGTCTACCTATACATCGTGAAGCTGGGTTTGAACCCAGGCCAGACACAACGTCTGAGCTCACCCCCACAGAGGCAAACATTTGACCAGAGGTACAGAGACCGTCAGAGACACATCCACCACAGGGACTTTGGATCCACTGTCAAGTCTACCCCGTCCCACCTGCGGGCAGAGACCGGCCATCCACAAAGTTGACAGGCTTGCTGAGCTGCCGGTACACCTGGGGCACAGGCGGGTAGAGGCGGAAGGTCTCCTTGATGCACATGGTCAGGTAGGTCATCTTGCCCAGGTCATCCCTGCAGGCAACACAGCCAGGTCATGCTGGAGACAGGGAGCAGTAGGGTGCCATGGAAGGCAGGTCCCAGCCCCAACTTCTGCCTTCACCACCATCCCACACCCAGAGCTGAGGGCCACAGCGCTCAGGTGTCCAGGTCAGACTGAACCCCCAGGGAAGTCTCACAGACCCAGGTGTTTTGGCTCCACTTTTCTCCATCCCTCCCTCTTCATTGCTAAAAAGAGGAGGCACAAGGTCCACGAGTGTGTGTAACACAGCTGACAAAGGCAAGGTCACCCCTGTGTCGCTCAGAACCCCACGGATATTCCATAGGGGAGAGTGCTTTAGGTTCTTCTTGGTTTCCTCTGTGAGACGGGGTGGGAAGGAATATACTTTGTTGATTAAATTTTTAAAAAATGCATGCACAACAAAAAGCTCAGCTTTAGATGTGTACACACACATATATGTGTGTGTGCATATTTCTCTTTTCCCTTTTGCTACCAGAAAGCTCAGACCCAAACAGGGTACAACTATCACTACTGTGGAACACGTTTTACAACCCAAGCCCTAGGCTGTGGTCTCTTCTGTCCTTGCTTTTCATTCGTGTTTTACTATCTTTTTAATTGTATAGTGTACTCTCAGTTGTCTCAGGTTCTAAATGGAATGAAGGGAAGATAAACCAATACTTTAATTACCTACCTTCAGTGTGTGTTCACATCATTACCCGACCTAGAGTGCCCAACCTAAGGAATCCAACTCAGGTCCCAAACCTTCTGAGTTCTGCCTTCAGCATGGGCCCATTCTGTGGCTTCCTCCAACTTTTTACAAGTGAGTTTTTCTCTCTAAAAACTCCTCAAGGGCAGCAACTTGCTTCCCCTCCTCGTCCCACAGCACCAGACAAGTGGGCTCAGGGGTGCATCAGTGCACAACTCCCCTCAAAAGACACGGCACTGGACACCCTGAAAGGTTTCCAATAACCAACCGGTAACAATGGGTAATGAGAACTGTCCCAGCCACAGGTTCTGGAATATTAGGGGTCTCCTCAGTGAAGTGACAGTTTCTCCCAACGTCTCAGTATTTTCTGTGTGCTTAGCCCTTGCTGCCGCCCGGGGGAGCCAGAGAGTAAGGTGAGGGGTAAGGCTGGATGCAGCGACCTGAGTCGGGGAGAGGACCCTGGTGGGGACTCCCAGAGACTGCGCTGCAGAGAGCTCAGCCGCAACTGGCATCATGCTCTGCTTAAGCCAAAAACAATTGAAAGTTTTTCCAAGAAAAATACCGAGTGCGGGCCCTCCCTGGTGGCGCAATGTGTTAGAGCTCCGCACTGCAAGCTGGCCGCAGCCTCTTAAATGCCTCTTAGATCTCCGCCACGGAGGTGACCCACAGGACGAGGCAGACCTCTCCCGGCCCGCCCGCTGCTCCCCTCAACAGTGGACTTCGTCAGTCGGCCTGTTCTGCTCCCCACTCTGTCTCTGGTGAAGCCTCTCCCCGCCCCTGCACCTCTGACCTGTACCCCAGTTCTGTATGCATAAATAAAATAAATCTTAAAGAAAAATATCGAGTGGTCTCACAGGAGAAATATAGGGAAAACAAAAACGGAATCAGAAAAAAAAATAACTATAATGAAGTAAAAATCAAAATCATCAGGCAACTATAGATCAGAGATATTCTGTAGGGGAGGAGGGAGAAGGGCCAGGGCAGGAGTGGGCAAAAGGACTCTGGTGATGGTGCACGGGTGCATTGGTGATGGAAACCATACATTGGTGCAAAAATGAAGGATGATGTCATGAATATATTTTATATAATAAAAATAATTTTTTTTTAGTAAGCTTTTCCATTGAAGGTGTTTAAGACGGCTCACGACCTTCCACGGGCAGAGGCGGTGGGGAGGGGTCAGCGGGCTTGCTGGCTCCAGCTCCTAGAGCGGCACGGTCTGCGCATGCGCCCGCGCTCCACTAGGAAGCTGCCGGGCTCTGCCAGCAGGGGGCGCCGCGCACCAGCAATCGGTCTCCCCTTGACCACGTCACTTACAGCTGAGAAGGCCCTCGGCAGAGTGGGCTCAGGGGTGCCTCCGCGCACAGCTCCCCTCTAAAGACACAGCACTGTAGAGAACAGGACAGCCGCCACCACTCTGTCATCCGCAGATGCCACCAGAAAACGTGGGCACAGCCCTTCCGGGGCTGGCAGAGACTGAACCCCTGAAGCCTCACTCACCACTGGAAGGAGTTCCGGTCCCCTAGGATCTCATGAAGTTCCTCCCTGCAACGAGTCTGGTGCTCGGGGTACAGGGCCATGCAGTAGAGAAACCAGGAGATGCCACTGGTGGTGGTGTCATGGCCTTCAAACATGAACGTGTCCACCTCAGCCCGGAGGTCAGCGTCTGACAGCTTGATTCCATTTTCGTCCTGGATTAAGGGTGGTGTGATGGGACAGCTCGAGACATGTGGAGGTAGGTGCGGGGAAGAGCAGTAAAGGAAGGTTGAAGGAAGGGAGTGAAAGCTCCTTTTCAGACTGGGGTTAGGGTCTGAGCCCCCCATGCCTCCTACTCCAAGAAGCCTTCCCTGACCACTCTGGCAGGGACCTGTGCCCTGACATCAGTTCTGCTCATTTGACCCACAGCGTGCCACCTAGTGAAAAGAGAGCAATGTCCAGTCGCACCTCTTCCACTAGAATGTAGGCCTCCGGAGGACAGGGCCAGGGCTTCTCTAGCACAGATCCTAACCCAGGGTTGAACTCCAAGTTTATGGAGTAGGTAACTAAAGGATCAGCTGGATGGAGGGAGGGAGGATAGGTGAGTAAATAACTCCAGTCTGTCATTCTGAGATTCGAAGTTACCAAGATTCTTCAGTCTTAGATGTCTACAGTTCAGGCCTTCTAACATGTGAATCAACCTCCCTACGCCTTCATTTCTCCCCAGTACCACTGCCAGCCGCACCCTCTCCTTTCCACCCTTTAGCCTTTCTTAAAGGACAAGAACACATTTGCTGGAGAAAGAAGAAAATGCTTAATAGACATTTTACTGTCTGGTGAGGCTCAGCCCAGGAAAATGGTCAGACACGCCCTGTGTGACCCGTTCTCACATGGGCGTGTGTAAACAGTGCACTGACCCGAGCACCCAGGAGAATGTCCAGAAAGTCCAGGTGTCTCTGGCTTTGGATCTTTGCCCATTCTTTCTCATCCTTAAGGGCCTCCTTCCGTTCCTTGATGACCTGGTCTGGGCCAAGAACACACACTGTCACTGCTGGGGGACAGATATCTGCCCAAAGGGGACCTGAGGTCCTGCAATGGGAGGAATTGAACTAGCACCCAGGCTTCCTGTGGGTGTGCCTGCGGGAAAGGCCCACCTGTGTGGTCATGGGCCACCTTGCAAGCCCGCAGGAAGCGGCGGCCGTGGGGGGTGAGCCAGTAGATGAAGTCATTGTGGTACTGGAAGGTTTCGATGCGCTGCTGCATCAGGAAAGTGAGGTCGCTGACCGCCATGTAGTAGCTGCTGTCCCTGTACAGCAGGGGAGGAGGAAGGTACTCGTGGGCCCACTGCAGAGCCCGAGGACCTCCATTCCAGGAATCTGGCCCCAACCACAGCATTTCTGCCCTTCCTCTCCCTGCCATTAACCCTCCCCACTGAAGTCAGAATCTGTCCATCCCCACCTTGGGCAAGACCCAACTCCCATGTTGGGGTTCCCTGAGCGAACCCTATGTCCTCCAAGGCCCGTTAGCCCTGCCAACTCTCCCCTTGAGTTGGCCTGGGTGGAGGGTATGGTCAGCCACAGGTGCCCTCTGACCTTTCACCCAGGCCACTGTCTCCTTTGCCAAAGGTGCACTTCATGAGCGTGTCCAGGGCCATGTGGCCCACATCACAGAAGATGTCAAAGGGCTTATCCTCACGAGCCTTTTTCTCCCATTTGTCCTGGAACCCAGAGATGGAAGGTATTAGAGGGCCAGTGGCTGGGTAAAAAATCACAACCTGTCCTCACACCATGCATCCCCAGCCCCTGGCCTGGCCTCCGTCCTGCTGGAGGCAAGCTTTCCATAGCAAGGATGCCATCTCCCAGCCAGCGCAGCCTCTAGACAGGGAAAGAAGAGGACTGAGAGGTAGTGAGCTCCCTGGCAAGGTCTGAGTGCGAGTGAAGACTGCAGTGATGCTAGGGAGGGGTTTCCTATGAGGAGAATGACTAGGCTGGCCACATCTTGGCACCAGGCAGTGCAGAGATTCTGAACCTGACTCCTGACCCCTGACATCCCTTCTAGAGACTGTGGCTGGCAACATTATTTTAGGCAGTTTTGGTAGGCAGACAAGGAGAGACAATTTTTAGATGTGAAAAAGCCTTCCTAATACTCACATATAGGCATCCCAAGTCTGCTACAATAAAGCCTCACTGGGAGAGGGTGGTTTGGGCTCTTGGTGAAGACAAAGACCAGGGCTGCCTGGCCTCTTGACACTTCAGCATCTAATCAGCATCCAGCAATGGACAGAGCACAGGCTCATTATTGCTACTGCAGGCAGAATAGAGCCTTGGGCCTCAGTAATTCCCCTCACTGCCCTCCCCCAGGAAAACTGGCAGTGGGGAGGTCTGGTCCTGCCTCGGGCATCATAGCTGAGGGAGCTCACCAGCATAGCGTTTGTGGATTCAGCGAACACAGCCACGTAGGGCTTCAGCACATCGTAGTGGAAGCCAGGTGTGAGCAGTTTGCGGTGCTGGAACCACTTGGGCCCCTGGAGGACCAGCAGGCCTTTCCCTGGTGGGTGGTGGGACAGGGAAGACTGATTGGGCCACACAATCCTGCCCCACCCTGGCAGCCTGGGCCAAGCACACACCACCACACCCTAACCCCAGTCATCCCTGCCCAGCCTTAAATCCAACCCAGCTCTACATCAGTGGCCGCCTCAGTCCTGTTACCATACCTTTCCTCAGGCCTACCCCGGCCAGCACCTCCAGTAAAGTCCCCTTGGGTCCATTTCATGCCACCTCCCCTAGGAAGCTGTCCCTGATACTCCTGCAAGAGCCCTTGTCTTGATTCTGGGGAAGTAGACAAACCCCGCAGGAGACATTATCTGAGCTCCACTTCCCTAGTCAGCCAGGAGCTCCCCTGCCTCCTCCTCTATCTCTCCACTAAGCATTGAGCTGGGGATGAGCACATGGGAGCCGGCGGACTAGTTAATGGGATAACTGAGTGAGGGTGACATGGCTGGGAGGGATGGGACTGGCAGCAAGAGGCTGGAGTGGGGAGGGCAAGAAGCAGGTGCCTACTTACCAATCCACTGGAGGAAGAAGTCATAGACATCTGCTGCCTTAGGATCTGCAGAAAAAAGAGATCAGGTCAAGTAGGGAATGGGAGATTCCCAGGGGAGTTGACAAGTAGGATGGGAATTTTAGCTCCCCGAACTTAGGACCCAGGCCCAGCTCTCTTTCCCACATGGACCCTGTGCCCTTTGTTTTCAAGCCGCCTCCCCCCCCCCGCCCCCCCAGCCTCTCCCTAGAGTTCTTACCCCCTCGACTGTACACAGCTTTGACATAGTCAGGTTCATAGATGTTCAGGAAGCCAAGGAACTGTCCAAACCAAAGTGGGTGGGCGTAAGGGAACTGGTGGGCCCAGGACACCACCTTGTCCAGGCTTCCCGTTTTCTGGATCTGAAATGAAGATAAAGGTCATGCGTGACAGAAAACCAGCATCACTGGCCAGGTCCCAAGTCCTTGGGCACGGAAGATAGGAGGTTGTCCAGGCAGGCCCTGGGAAGTCCCTCCCTTCCCCTGCACATCCCTTCACCCTCCCACTCAGTCACACAGCACTAAAGATCTCTGAGTTGATACCCCTCTTTAATCCCATAGCCATTGATTCAAGTCCAAGAACACCCATTATTGTATCTGGGTGAGGTCAACAGCCCCAAATGAACCAACCTCCTTCCATCTGATGCCTGCCAACAATCCTTTCTCTACACTGCAGCCAGAAAGATTCCTTTTCAATATTATTATTTTCTTTTTCTCTAGAACAGTAATACCTTTGTTGCACAATACAAAAATCTCCATTCCATTTCAGTCAAGTCAGTCAACACATTTTTACTGAGGTCCTACTATGTGAGGGGTACTGTCAAGCTCTCTCGGGAAAATGAGACAGACACAGTCTTTCCCTTTCATTTTATAGGGGAAGACTGATAAAAAAAAACAAGTAAACAATTAAGGAAAATGATTTCAGACCAGACAAGATCTAAGAAAGAAATGAAAGCGAGGCAATGAGAGAGATGAACAGGGAAGAGCTACTTAGATAAAGAGATCAGGGATGACCTCTGGCTGCAGATGATATTCAAGGTGAAGCCCAAAGGATGAGACCTGACTATGTGAAAAGTGAGGGAAGAACATCCTAAATCGAAGAGCAGCATGCACAGAGGCTCTGAGACAGGGAAGTGTGTCCCTCTCCAGGAGGTGCTGCCTGGTGGAAGTGTCCTGAGGTTGGTGAGACCATCGACAGGTGTTGTGCACTGTTTGGGTGCTTCTCTAGCTGTCTACACACCCAGAAGACATTAAATCATAGAGATCTAAGGTTGCTTGCTGAGCACTGGACAACTTGGGTCAGTAAGGGAATCAGAGGTGAACCAAGAAAAGGAAATGGCGTTACAGGATAACTATGTCCCTACACCTGCCGTTTCTCATTTAACAAGCTAGTGTATATAAATACTTCTCAATATTGTTAACAGTGCCATAGTATTCCATTACATGGTATTTATGGTGTTTACACATTTTTCCCCATCTTGAGGGAGCCTTTCAGAGATACACTTAAAACCCTTGGGGCCGGCTCTTGGGTCTCAGAATAATGCCCCAGAGTGCAGCAAACTGTTAGTTTGCCTGCTGTGTGCCACCTCATACTTTGACCTCATCGAGTTCTCACAATGATTCTATGAAGTCCTATTTTAGGAAAGAGGCTGTTAACGTCCAGAGACATCTGAGGTTGTTTGCTGAATAATGGACAATTTGTAAGGGAATTCAGAGGCAAACCAATCTTCAGAACTGGGTTTAAATATTGTTTTCCCCTATTTTTCACAAGTGTGGATTTGGCCAAGTTCTTCAGGCTCTCTGCATCTTACTCTTCTCATCTATGAAGTAGGGACAATAACACCTATCTTAAAAGATTGACTTTGACACTATGAAATCATGCAGGACATGTGTTACTACTTGTGGCCATTCAGAGCAATTAATTGATATAATACATTAACCTAGCACTGGACCCACCCAAGGTAAGCCTTCAATTAACAGTTTCCTCTTCTTCAAGTCTACCTTTCCCAGATCTCTTCCTCCAAGCCTTCTCCTTTCACCTCCTGCCACATCTGACTCCCAAGTGCTCTCAGTCTGCACTAAGGAATTTGCTTTGAATACACCCTGAAATACCGCCCATGTAGGTAAAGGGTTAATCAAACTTTGTCACCTATCACATGAGAAGTGACCTTGGGGCATAGACCTACTCTATTCCACAAGAAACCTATTAAATAGATTGTCAACTGTGCTGATAAGTAACAGGCAATAAATGATGCCTGGATGGAAAATAGTATCTGAGCTGGGAGAAACAAGAAATAAACTATCATGAGGACACTGAGCTTGGGCTTCCCTGAGTATGGTGACCCTTATCGTGGGCTTAGTCCTTCAGGAACCCTGGGGGTTCCTCAGGGCTGGAGGATTCTGAGATGGGTCTGCACCCACAGATGTGGCTCTCTTCTCCTTGCCCCTAGGCAACCCCTAAGTAGCAGATGGACCACCCGTGGCAGAGTGGATGCTGTGAAGGATGTTGCCTTGCCAGCAAGCTGCCCACATCCTCAGAGTAGACCAGGGCTCACTGTATTCTATGGAAGCCTCATGAGTCTGATAGTTGAGCATCAAGAGGGTCACCTGGGGTGGTGCATCATGTCTACACCCTTGCTTATGCGAAGATCTGCATCTTCCTCTTTGTACACCCTACCAAGGATACCTGGTGAAACTCTGCCTGTTCCTCCACACCCAGCCTGATTTCTTCTCTCCAGGAGCTGCTCTAATCCTCCCCTGACTGAATCACTGCCTCTTTTAGGCCTTTCCACCTCTTTTAGAACTTCAACAACATTCCACTTTGTGTTGGAATTGTTTGCATCCTTAGAAAAATATATAGAGAGAAAAATAGAATATATATATATATTTAAAACATTAACATTAATGTTCATGAGCATTTAATGTGTTTAGACACTGATAGTCCTGTTACATGAACTCTTTCATTTAATCCTCAGAAAATTCTAGATACTATCATGATTCCCATTTCACCGATGAGGTTGGGGAGCTCAGTCACAAGGTTGGTTGTAGAGCTGGAGTTCACACCCAGGATCCCCGACTCTACCTTGGGACTGAGAGCTTCCAAGTACACAGATCACATATGTGGCCCCTCTGACTCAATGGGCAGCTCATTGTATGGCCTTGGACAAAGCATGTGTTGAATTAAAGTAATAAATAAAAGAGATTTTAAAAAGAGGGAAGACAAGAAGGGAAGGGAGAAATCATACACATCTGCCTAATCAAAGCATTGGCCAGAGAAAGTCTCATGAGACCAGCCCAAGGTCTTGCTCAATTTGGAGAAGTCAAAGAGGAACCAGCTCTGCCCATCTGGTAAACAGCATTGCAGATTTATTTGTTTTACCCACTATAGCTAATACCCAGATTCACCACTCTTTCTGTACGAATCTCTCATCACAGGAAGTGGAAGAAGATATGTATTGAGTGTCTACTGAGTGAATGAATTCATAGATTGCCTCATGGATCTAAGTTGGAATGGATAATTACTCCCATTTTACAGATGAGAAAACTGAAATTCAGGGGTGGAAAAGGATTCACCATTACTGTAGGTTGGCAGTGATCTAACCCAGGTTAGAGCCCCTCACTCTCTCTGCACAGTAAAGCACATCAGGGCTGCTCTGTTCAGTTGTACAGATTGTACGCTGCAGAATTCTAGGGTGTGCCATTCATGTTGAAGTCTGTGGTGAGGTTTGACCAGTCCTCAGATGCCCTTGTTTTCCTCCTTTTTATAGTCTTCACCCACTCGACTAATCTTCTAAGAAATAGCCTTGAAGAAGTGCACAGTGCATCTGATAATGTAGCCCCAGAAATCTCTGACCAACGCCAAAGATTCCCTTGAAGAGCCTAGGGACTGGACCCAGTTACTTTGGTCGCCAGCCACCCATCTGTCCCTTCTCTGGGGTTCCTCTCTTTCAGGTCTGCTGCAGAGTCTGGTAGAACCTCTCATAAAGCCCTCCTGTCATTGTCTCTGAAGTCCCCATCCTGAGTTCAACCTAGGAAAGGGGTGGGAAGGGTTGTAAGAATTTTCACCATCTTTAAACACACAATGTCAAAAGGGCATGAAGTAACAAACACCACCTGTGTCCACTGATAAAGGGGAATGCCTGGTGTCCTTGGCTCCTTTTCCTACCTCCCTCCTGGCTGGTGTCCCTAGAACTGTCTCCTCAACCCTGTGACTTTTTTATTTTTCCATCTCCCATCCTGGCTTTTTCTTGCCAACTTTCTAATCACCTTCGCTGCTCCCTTTCTCTCCATCCCTCCCAGGACTAAGGTCAACTGGACGGAAGTCAGTAAGTTTAAGTCATAGGGAAGGTACATTCCCAGAGTCTCAGGGTTGAAAGTGTTCCTTAATTGACTGGTTCATCATAGCCCCTCCTCCTCCTGACAGCCATGAGCATGGCCCCCCCGCCCCAGGACAGGAGGCCCTGACCACCTACTGACCACACTCACAGCTGAGCTGGCCCCCACCTCCCATGCTCAAATTTCTCCTATGTTCTCCCAGGAACCTGGGGAGAGCAAGGATGGCTCTTGGCACCTGACCTCACTGATGAAACTACAAGCCTCCAAGAGGGCTAGGTATCCTCTCACTGGGGTGTGGGAGGTGTAGCTGCCTAGCCAGCTCCCCTGGGTTACATAACTGCAGGCCTCAGGAGGGATCTGTTCTCAGATGCCCTGAGCTGGGACATTCTCTGGGTCAGCTTGTTTTCTCCAGAGGAAGGAAGCAGGAAAAGGACATGGCTTAGAGATAATTCACTGACTGCAGCTTCCAACCCACCCCACATCCTCACAGTTGTACTCCTTATTACCCTCACCAAGAACAAACAAGAGGCGTTGGGAAGAACAAGCATAAGGCACTCCTCATACTCCCTGCTCTGCTCCAGAGTCTGAGTAAATTCCGCTCTGAGGATTAGGTCTGAAAGAGACTTCAGCATCCTGTAGCAGAGCCACATCTCTCCTAATAGCATGGAGATCTGTGTTTTACCACAACGCCAAGGGGCCCACGTGGAGGCCGGCCTTCTCTCCTGCAGACCCTCCTGTGACTTTTGCATTGAAATCAGCAACCAGAAACTAAGGGAGACATGTCACAGCTCCCAGGAGTAGGGACCTATGATGAACCCCTCCAAATCAGTCCCTAAGACTTCTGTGCCCAAATACTGCCAGGTGGCACCAGCCCCAACCTCCCCCTGCAGGGTCTCAGACCCCACCCATTTACATTCAGACTTAGAAGTTCATTTCCCCTAGCTGCAATCCAGTGACTTGGGAGTCCTTTTCTCTCTACATGACTTTGCTGAATTCTACTCTCACCCAGCAATGCTGATGGCACCATTTAACAAAGCTCCCAGCGCAGCCCTGTGTCCCCTCCCCTAGAACGTCTCTGGCTGCTCTGGTGGAAGCCTCGCCACCCTCCCTCCCTGGCACATGATGCCAAGACAACTGGCCATCCCCCACGCTCTCAAGGCCCCACCTTACTCCACCAGCATCTGCCTGGACCCTGTCAGCTTACACTCTGGCTCCTGCTTAATGTCTGCCAGTCTAGTCACCAGCCAAAGGCAACGTGACCTGTCACACAGATCTGACCTTTCTCTCCCTTGTTCAAACCCCTTAGTCGCTACCCCACTGTACTCGATAAAGTTCATTTTTGCATGTGACCCACCCCTCCTGCTTCCAGCCTCTGCCTCTCCACCCTGTCCTCTCTCTCATCACTTCAGAATTGCGGCGCACATAGGGGCCTTGGAAAGCAAATATTTGTGGAACAAATTCATTTCCTAAACACACAGCGCTCTTCCAGGCTCAGTGCCTTTGCACACATAGCATATTCTGCCTTCCCTTCCTCTCCTCCACAAGCTGCTGCTTCTAGATCTTCTAGGATTCACCTCAGCATTCCCTCCCTGGACCCAAGGGTCTGGATACTGTGCCGTCTCTGTCTCTCCTACAGACCAAGCTCCCCAAGCATGGGCTCTAGCCTCGTTCCTTCACCCTCAGCTCTGGCCTCAGCATAGAGCCAGGACCAGAGCAATGATAGTTGCTTGGGAAAAGAGGGACCTTATCTGATTCCCAAAGATGACTGAATTGGGAGGAAGAAGAAGGCTGAAGGAAGCAGAAACAATAAAGCATTTCTGTGATCTCACGCCTGACATCTGTCTGCCAGCAGCTTGTAACCCAGTGAGGTAAAGAGCATATCTTCATGTTATTGAGAAGGAAATGAAAGCAGAGTGGAAGCTCAGTGGAGCCCACCCTCAGTGTCTTCTGAGAGAAGTGAGCCAGAGCCCCACACCAGGGCTCTTCGCTGCACAGTGCTTAAGGCAGCTGTCCCAGGGACTACAGCACCAAGGAAAGCCTCTGCCTTCTCCTGGGACTGCCTTTCCCAGCAGGGAACTGGCATTTCCCATCCTCATACTCCTACTCCACCCCTAACTCACACAGGTCAGATTCGTGGGCTTTACCCAAGAGCCCCAACCTCAGGTAAACATTATAGCTGAATAAGGACTCCCTGGCCCCAGAATGGATTAAAGAAACCCTAGAAGAATAGGACATGGTCCCACTTCAGGGAGCCACATTCTGAAGAAGACAAGGGGGTAGAAGTTTCCAGAACTTCCAGACTGTAACTAGAGACCAATAAGAGATGTTAATCCTGATGGACAGCTCTGCCTCACCCCCAGGCCCTTCCTTCCTCTCCTCCTCCCAGTCTCACCAGGCCTCAGAATCAAGCAGTTCACTTTGTAAGGCCCGATAGCATCTTCGGTGAAAATGAATGGGTTCTGGGGTCAGCTTTGACTCAACTCCCAAGTTAGGCCACAGAAATAGGCAAACACCTTGCCCTTTCTGAATCTCCGTTTCCTCATGTTTATATTTGGAAAAATAATCCCTACCCTGCCCTCCCTACTTCTTGGGCTCAAGTGTGGATCTGAGGTGCCAAGCCCTAGAGGAATGCGGAGGTGTTGTGCCTGTGATGGTTCCCCAGGAAACCTTTATTTTTGCAAGAGCAAACAGCTCTTCAACTCCTGCTTGTCCTGCTGGTGCCACAGCCCTTTAGATACTTGTGCTAGAGCCAAGAAGTCAGAGCAAAACTATTCCAGGCCCTCCACACATGTTCAAGGTAGGGCACAAGGCTTCTTGAGGTGGCAGTTAACTCTGACATGGGAAGCCAGTTGGTGGAAGGCAAACCCAGTTCTGATGGAGACAAGTAGAAGTAGCAGAGACTTGGGGAGAAAGGGTTTGAGGGTCTCCCTCAAGTCATCTTCCCCCAACCCTCAACGTTCATTATAGTATTGATCTCCATTTTCCCGGACCTGCCTCTGTAGTCAGTGAAAGCTTTTGCAATCCACCCTGGTCCCTCCACTTGTCTTCTCCATCATCTATCTTCTCTATCAATACTCTTCCCTGTGCTCCACCCACCACTGTTCATTTGGTGATGCCTACTCTGTGCTAACCTTTGTATCCTGAGCATAGATAAGTTGAACCAGAACTCCAACTCCAGCACCCATGGTCTACTGTAGTAGATGAACAACCAACAGAAACTGACAGAGCCTGAGACACAGAGCACAGGGCTGGTGCAAGTTCTAGTTAGGCACCCCAACCATCCTGGGGGCAAGGAAAGTTCTGTTATATCTTTTCCTCTCAAAACTGTAAACTCCTTGAAAGCAGGTCTAGGTCTGACTCATCTCCCCAGCCTGTCTTTCCCTTCTTTGGTGCCTCCAGAATGCATGCAGGCTACTCAACTATCCTGGGAGGGTGGTTATCTGTAGGGGTAAGAATTAGCCTAGATATCTTCACTGGAAGGTCAAGTTCATTCCCAGGATGAATCATGGAAGAGAAGCAATTCCCCAAACTGAAAATGGGGAAAGCATATTCAGGAGGTAGCAGAAGTTACTATGCCTCTCCCCGAGCCTTCGCCTCTGGCATCTATACCTGGGTTCCTAAACCTGGCTGAAAATTAAAAAACACATAGGGGCCCTCCCTGGTGGCGCTGCGGGTTAAAGCACAGCACTGAGAATCTAAAGCCGCTTCTGCATGAGTTCGATTCCCGCCTGCCTCGGAGGTGACCACATGGCGTGGCAGACCTCTCCTGACCCGCCCGCTGCTCCCCTCAGCAGTGTACTTCGTTGATCTGCCTGTTCTGCTCCCAACTCTGTCTCTGGTGAAGCCTCTCACCACCCCTGAGTCTCTGGCCTGTACCCCAGTTCTGTATGCACAAATAAATAAATCTTTAAAAAAAAAACACATAGGGAGGTTTTTAAATTTAGAATCTTGATTGGAATCTGTTAATTAGTAACTCTAGTAGCTGGAGGCAAAGACTCTGCTTCTCCCAGTTGATTTGCTCTATGTTCAGAAATCACCAGTCTAGATCCCACGACATTAGGGCACTAAGAAGTGTTCCTGACAAATGGGTGTTAGGGGGTCCCCACAACCCTGAGGCAACTGGGGTAACAAGGCAAGAAGGTGTCACAGCTGCCAGACAGCCACGGGCATGCTACCTTAGGAGGATGGCACCAACCCATTAAATGCTCTGGGAGATCTCACATGACAGTTCATCTCTGCCTTCACTTCCACTTTCTGCCTTAAAATGGAATATTTATACTGTCCAGAACAAGGCATGCTGGTTGGACTCTAAATAAGATAGCCTGGTTCTGTCAGACTCTCTAGGGGATTTTCCCCAATGCTATCATGGAATCCTTAGCAAAGCTTTGTCCAAACCTGGGTCTCAGAATGATGGGAAGGAGATTGTGATGACATAGATGGGCGCCCAACTCTGAGGCCACCTAGCAAGATGGAATTTAGGGGAAGATCCAGTGGGTGTGTCTGCATGAGCACCTTCATTCCCAGGACATCACTCCCTGTCCAAGCATAAGGGTTCCCTCTGTGGTCCCCAGGGAGTTAGGCCAGACTCTGAGGGAAACAAGGCTGTTCCCTTCTCCTTTCCTCCCAGCACCACCACATACCTCATCTGCATGCCCGTAGAGCCAGTGCGTAGGAGGCCCTGGGAAGCTGTCCATAGCCTTGGCCAGCATCTGCCTCCGCAGAAACAGACTAATGAACTTGAGGATGACTAAGACCAAGATCAGTACAGAAGCCCACAGGCCCAGGCGGAAGGGGCTCAGGGAGAGCGAGACAGGCACCATGACTGGAGTTGCAGCTGCCCAGGTTCCAGCCTGTCTCCCGCTTGCCCTGATTTCCCTTATACTCTGGACCCAGGCACCCTGCCAGGCCCCACCCCCGGCCACACCCTCTAGTCAACAGCAGCCGAGGCTGGGCTGAGCTCCACAAAGCAGAGAAAGAAGTCTCGAACAACAGAGGACTGCCCAGGTGTCCTCTGTCATCTCCTGAGACTCAGTTGAAGAGAAGTCAAATCCCTTTGGGCTTCAAAGAAACTAGGCAATGAGTATCCCACCTCGGGTTCCATACAGGAGCACACACAGGCACTAGTTAGTGTCATCATGACCATTATAGAGACCGTCTTTTCATACCAGCACCTTGTATGTTCCAGACACTCTCTGCATGAAGAGTCATGGTCACTCTTCTCTTTCCAGATAAGAAAACTAGTTTGCCTGTGCTTTCTTATAAGAAACCTTCCACTGTTCCTTTGAATGTGGATTTCTGGGAATGTTTGCATTTCTGCCAGGCTTCTAAAGCTTTGAGTCCTTTACTGATAGATACCTTCAGGAACAGTGCTCTAGCCACAGAACCCTGCAAGGAGATCCTGGGTCAGAAAAGGTCAACTCCCCTTTCCCTCACAAGAGCATAGTGCAAACTTGATGCTTAGGGCCACAGAATATTACTTTCAGTGTAAGGAAGAGAGATCATCAAATTCAGCCCCTCGTGGATATACAGAGAGTCTCTTAGGCACAGAGGGGCAGGGGGTTGTCCAAGGCCTCACAGCAAAGCAGAGGCAGCTCTCAATTCCCCAGACCAAGACTTTGTTGGAGAATAAGCTTGGTCTAGGCCCCAGCCTTGCCTGGGAAGAGGCTGCTCTTTCTCCCTCGAATCTTAGTTTATTACAGTCAGGATCCCACAGGAGACAGGATTCATAGAAGATGTTTCAGATGATGAGACTTGGATCCAGGGATCAGCTCAGAGGGGTAGGCAGAGTCAAGAAAGTGAACAAGGTTCTATGTGGCATCCAGAGACTAACAGCAGGGGGACCCCACCAGCATCCTTAGACCAAAGAGACATGGGGAGGCCGCGTGCACCTGAGCCAGGTAGAAGCAGCTGTTGGCAGAGAAGTGACCCCAGAGCAAGGAGACAGCAGAAAAAAAAGGGTGTCCTGGCCTCTGTCCTCTGCACCCTCTAGCCTCTTACTGGCATCTCCCAACAGCAGTGAGATGACAGAGGAGCTGGGGGAGGAGTGTATGGAGAGACCCTCCTAGAGGGGAAAGACGAGCCAAGACTGGTCTGGCATGGACATGGCCAGGTGGACTTGGAACTCAGGTCACAGGTGCTGACTCAGAGAATAGCAAAGTGCCCCCCTGGCCTTTCTGCCCCTTCTGGAGGTGAGGCTGAGCCTCCTCCCCTACTGCCAGGAAGAACCCACATCCCACCATACCCACAGGCAAAGAAGGCAAGATGGCTACACAGGAGAAGAAACTCCACAGCAGTTCCTAAAATTCTGCTTCAATTCATGAAATCAAGACATTGGTGCCCCACTTAAAATGTAAGCCATCCAGGTCTGAAAGTGAGGAAGCATGAAGCGCTATCAGCAGACTCCATACCTTATGGTGATTCTTTGATCCTCATGGTCTTGCTGGAAGTGTAATGAAGGGAAAGACTGGGGGAGACCCTAGGGACACTCCCATCTGCTAATGGATATCCTGGCAGAAACCATGTAGGGTTCGCCTGGGAATGAATAGGGCTAGCCTAGAAGGTGGTAAGTGGTTACAGTGGTCTTTGGGTCCCAGCTTCATTCCCTGTTTCCCTGTTCCAACCAGTACTATAAGTCTACCAACTTTGAGGCACACCTCAAACCACATGGTGGGTCCACATTTACTTAAGACAATCTGAATTCACTTTGCCTCAGTGACTAAGTGTTTCAAGGGTTAGCTCATGAGCAAAGCCAGTCAATTGAGGGCTAGTGAAACTTGATTTTAGACTTTGGCTTTCTGGAAACAGACTCTTTCTTTAATATTGGATTTGCACCTGGAAGCATGTTTCCTCATGAGTCATTAATGTGAGCAGAGCCAGCCAGGATCTTCACACCAAATGAACTGAAGTGAGAAATACAGAAAACTGAACACTCAGCGCATTATTTGAACTCCTGGATCAAGCCTGACCTGAAGCTAGGGATGTCTTAGAGCTTTTAATTATGTGAACATCCAGATCTTCTTGATTTAGATTCTGTTTGAATTAGCCTAAATGATATACTGGGGAAAGCCCTAGAAAGTGGGAAAGGCTTGGTTAAGTTGAGTTAAAACAATTTTAGGTAGCTGACCTGTAACAAACCAAATGGAACTAACCAGGAGAGGGACACCTGGGATTGCCCTTGTATACTTTGGGCAGTGGACTAGCCTAGGAAAAAAAGCTCATAGAGAAATTGTACATGAGACTGGCCTGGGCAAATCTCTCTTGAAGGAAACAATAAATAATCTGGTTGTGGTAAAATGAAGGGGTGGTTTATAGAATAAGCAAACACCATAGGTATTTTGAAGAAGAAACCACAAGGGGAGAAATCTACCAGGAAATGGAAGCGTCAACAACGGTGTTGACATGGAGCCTGGAACCAAGCAGTTAGGAGACTAGTGGTCTATTCTGCACTGCAGGGAGCCGTGGGGAGTAGAGCGAGGTAGAGCGAGTCCTTAAATAGAGGTACAAAGGTAACTGGAGGTGTGTTCCAGGAAGATTCCCCCCCTCTGTGTGCATGCAGTGGCTCTGAGCTGGTCTGGTGTGGAAGGTGCTGGAGGCTGGGTTGACAATCAGAAGAGGAGTCAGAGCTAGGCTAACAGCGCTGCATGTAACCTGAGAAGTCTTCCTGCTTTCTCCTGCCAGAATCATGGCCGCTTTCATGGCCTATTTGTCACACACCCTGCTCTTCACTTAGTGGCTAAAATCAGGCAGCTGTCCACACTTCTACAGTCAAAGACAGTGACTATGCGGCCAGAATCTCAGACGAGGCAGCAGCCAACCCCAAAGTTCCGATTCTTCTAACTAACGTGACAGTGTGATATTTGGAAGCCATATGTGCCGCCCTGGAGCCTCCATATCCATTTATGTTTGTTCTGCCCACAGGGGCCCAGCAGTAGGCTTCCTTAAAGCTTCAGCAGTCAGGGAAGTCTTGGAGATAAACCCCCCAATCCAATAAGCTGGATGTTAAGGAGATGGAGTCAATAAGACTCTGCCTTTATCTAAGTGTTTCCCAGGTTCTAGGTGGCTTCATCCTAAGTTTTTGCTGCAAGAATTTTCATCAAAAACATTTTTCCCTGGGCCTCCCTGAGGTGCGAGGGGTTAAGTCTCAGCACTGTGAAGCTATTTGCAGCCACTATAGCACGAGTTGGATCCCAGGCCAGGGTGCTGACCCACTTGGCACAGCAGACCTCTCCTGTCTCGCCTGCCGCTGCCCTCAGCAGTGTATTTCAGGCAATCCTCCTGTTCTGCTCCCCACTTTGTCTCAGGTGAATCTTCTCACCCCCTCCTATGCACCTCTGATCTACACCCCAGCTCTTGTATGCATAAATAATTATTTTTTTAAATCCATCAAAAAATGGGCAAAAGTTAACTAGACACTTCCTCAAAGAAGACATACGATGGCAAAAAACACTTGAAAAATGCTCATCACCATTGAACATCAGGAATATGCAAATCATAACCACAATTAGATACCACCTCACACCTATGAGATTGGCTCCTCTCAAAAGCAGATATGGACCAGGCTGAGGGAGTAGAGAAAAAGGAACCCTTATATATTGGTAAGAACATAGACTTGTCTAGTCCCTGTGGAAAGCAGTGTGGACATTTATCAAAATATTAAAAGTAGCTGTCACTTTACATAAGAATGGGACAGATGCACTCCTGTGTATGGTAACACTAGTTACAATTGCCAAGTGACAGAAGCAAGGTAAATACCAATGGCAGAAAAGAGGATGAGATGGTGAGTATACACAATACAAGGGTGTACACTAATCAACTGATGCACAACACAGCTGGATCTTTGCCCACATCTGCCTCTCCTGCTGCCCTGCAGGAGAGGTCACAGCATCCGACAACACAACGATGTTCTGAGCACACTGTAAGGGTGGTGCAGTGCGAGGGTGGTGTTTATGGCTGCGGTCCATGTCTAAAGTGAGTGGGAGGAGGCAGGGAAGACAGCATCCAGCTCCTTCCACCTCTCGAGCAACCCCATCCATGTTTGACTCAAAGTCTCAGTGAATGTCTCGATCCTGAAATTGCAAGAGTGGGTGTGGAGGATGTCAGTGGGGCCAGAGGGCGGTGAGGAATATACGATGGCAGGGCTGGGCACAAGTTGGTTATTCTGCAGCCTCTGATGGTCCCTTCTAGAGTGCTCTGGCCCAGCCCATCTGTCTTGGTCATAAGGACAGTCAACCAAACACATGGCATGATGGGTGATGGGGGAAGATGTGTCTCAGGACCCCTATCCTTCTGGGGACACTAGACCCCAGCCCTTCTATCTAAGATGGTACAATACTTTAGATTCTGGAATAAACTGTGAGCTGTCTAATACTTAAAAGGAAATTTGTTAAGAGAGACACCCCTGGGAAGTGTGGATACAGTCTTGACAGGTGGAAAGGGAATAGATAAAATCCAGCCAGCCCAAGTTTCAGTAAGTGAACAAAGACAAGGCAGTGCTTGGGGACATAAACATCAAAGCGGAGATTGCCTTCACTTGTTTAAACAAGAGAGGATGCGAGTGTTACTGCTCCTCTCTCATCAGTCATCAAACTGACCCATCAACATATAATGTGCCACGTACTGGCAAACTATAACCAGAAATTGAGCTCACATTCTAACATGGTTCTGCCAAAAATAAATAAGTTTCTCCCCTTTTTCCTAGGAGCCAGGTCCACAATGCTACTGCCTGCCAGGGCCCCGTGTTCCTGGAACAATCACCTCTGTGTAAACCCACTCGAATGACGACCCTTGGGAGAGAGGAAACGTGAGTTCTGGTTTCAAGCCTGGCCCTGGCACAC